CTCCAAAACCCACGGAGATAGCCAAAATGGTGAAACAAAGAAACAAATCCCAAATGAAAGAACAAGAGAACTCTACTGAAGATGAAATAAATGAAATGCAGCTAAGAAAATTATCACAGGTAAAGTTCAGAGCCATGATCTTGAGAAAGCTCAACAGCATGAGTAAGGACATCAGCACCACGACTAAACATACAGAAACATTGAAAACCAACCAAGTAGAAATGAAGAATGACATAGCAGAAATAAAGAATACATTGGAAGGACTAACCAGCAGAGTAGAGGAATCTGAGGACTGGATTAATGAATTAGAAGACAGGGTAGAAAAAATCAACCAATCAGAAAACCAAAAGGAAAAAACAGGAAGATAGCTTAACAGAACTGTGGGACAACAGGAAATGTACTAACATTTGCATCATAGGAATCCCTGAAGAGGAAAAAATAGGCAAAGGTTAGAGAATATATTTGAAGAAATAGTGAAAGAAAACTTTCCTAACTTGGGGAAGGAGGAAGGTATTGAAGTTCAAGAAGCACAGAGAGCCCCAAGTAAGAAGAACCCAAACAGGCCCACACCAAGAAACATAGTAATCAAACTGCCAAAAATTAAAGACAAAGAGAGAATCTTAAAGGCAGCAAAAGATAAGCAACAGGTTACTTACAAAGGAAACCTCATAAGGCTTTCAGCTGACTTCTCCACAGAAACACTACAGGCCAGAAGGGAATGGCATGAAGTAATCAAGGTCATGAAAAACAAGGATCTGAATCCAAGATTATTATATCCAGCAAGGCTATCATTCTAAATAGAAGGTCAAATAAAAAGCTTCCCAGACAAAAAAATAAAAAATAAAAAAAGGCTAAGGGGATACATTAACACCAAACCAGCACTGCAAGAAATGTTAAGAGGACTGCTGTAATTAGCAGAAGAAAAAGGAAGAAAAATAGAACCACACTAAACAAAAATGGCAATAAATAAGTACATATCAATTATAACCTTAAATGTGAATGGTTTGAATGCACCAATAAAAAGACACAGAGTACCTGACTGGATAAGAAAGCATGACTCACATATATATTGTTTACAAGAGACCCACCTCACAACAAAAGAATCACATAGGTTGAAAGTGAAGAGATGAAAAAAAATCTTCCAAGCAAATGGAAAGGAAAAAAAAAGCTGGGGTAGCAATACTCATATCTGATAAAATAGATTTCAAAATGAAGACCATAACTACAGACAAAGGCCACTACATAATATTGAAAGGAACATCCAACAGGAAGATATAACCTTGGTAAACATATATGCATCTAATATAGGAGCACCAAAATATATTAAAAATCTTCTGGAGGAGAAACCAACAGCAGTACAATCATAGCAGAAGACTTCAACACCCCGCTGACATCACTCGATAATCATCTAGACAAAAAATTAACTAGGAAACACAGACTCTAAATGAAGTGCTAGATCCAATGAATTTAATAGCTATCTACAGAGAATTATACCCCAAAACTGCAGAATTCACATTCTTCTCAAGTGCACGTGGGACATTCTCAAAGATAGACCACGTTAGGGCACAAACTAAGTCTCTATAAGTTCAAGAAGATTGAAATCATATCAAGCATATTCTCAGATCACAATGGCATTGCAACGAGAACATGCAAAGACATTTGAAAACATGGAGGCTATACAGCATGTTATTGAACAATGAATGGGTTACCATGGAGATCAAGGAAGAAATTAAAAACTTCTTGGAAACCAACGAAAATGAACACACAACAACATAAAATCTATGGGATGCAGAGAAAGCAGTTCTGAGAGGGAAGTTCATAGCACTACAGGCCTACCTCAAGACACAAAAATAATTTCTAATAGACTATCTAACCTCACAACTTAAAAAACTAGAAAAAAAAAAGAAAGAAAAAAAAGAAACCCCAGAGCAAGTAGAAGGAAGGAAATAGTAAAGATCAGAGCAGAAATAAATGACATAGAGACCAAAAATTCAATTCAAAGGATCAATAAAACATAGAGCTGGTTCTTTGAAAAGATAAACAAGATTGATGGACCCTTAGCTAGACTCACCAAGAAACAAAGAGAGAGAACCCAAATACACAAAATCGGAAAGGAAAGAGGAGAAATAATAACTGACACCACAGAAATACAAAGGATTGTGAACAAATATTATGAACAATTATATGGCAACACATTTGACAATCTAAGAGAAATGGAGAAATTCCTAGAAATACATAGTCTCCCAAAACTTAACCAGGAAGAGATAGAAAACTTGAACAGACCAATAACAACAAACGAACTTGAAGATGTAATCAAGACTCTCCCAGCAAATAAAAGCCCAGGCCCGGACAGCATCATGGGGGAATTTTACCGAACATTCGAAGAAGAACTAATACCCATTCTCCTCAAACTACTTCAAAAAATTCAAGAAGAAGGAAGACTTCCAAACTCGTTTTATGAGGCCAGCATAATTCTAATTCCAAACCAGAAAAAGACACTACAAAGAAAGAAAACTACAGGCCAAGATCCCTGATGAACATAGATACCAAAATCATGAACAAAATTCTAACAAATCGAATCCAAAATACATCAAAAAGATTATTCACTATGACCCAGTGGGATTCATCCCAGGGATGCAAGGCTGGTACAATATTCGCAAATCAATAAATGTGATACACCACATAAACCAAATGAAAGATAAAAATCATATAATCATATCAATAGATGCTGAAAAAGCATTTGACAAAATCCAGCACCCATTTTTGATAAAAATGCTCAGCAATCTGGGAATAGAGGGATCATATCTCAACATAATAAAGGCCATATATGAAAAACCTACAGCTAACATCATACTCAATGGACAAATTAAAAGCATTTTCCTTAAAAACAGGAACAAGACGAGCATGCCCACCTTCACCACTCCTATTTAATATAGTACTGGCAGTCTTAGCCACAGCAATGAGACAGGAAGAAAAAATAAAAGGTATCCAAATGGGAAAGGAGGAAGTGAAACTGTCATTATTCGCAGATGATATAATATTATACGTAGAAAACCCCAAAGATTTCATCAAAAATCTACTAGACTTAATAAATAAATTTGGAAAAGTAGCAGGATACAAAATTAACGTCAAGAAATCACTGGTATTCTTATACACCAAAGATTAACTCACAGAAAGAGAAACTAAAAAAAAATCCCATTTACCATCGCAACAAAAAATTAAGATACCTAGGAATAAACTTAACCAAAGACATAAAAGACCTATTTGTAGAAAACTACAGGTCATTGAAAAAAGAAATAGAGGAAGATATAAAAAAGTGGAAGCATATACTTTGTTCATGGATTGGAAGAATTAACATCATTAAAATGTCCATACTACCCAAAGCAATCTATAGATTTAATGCAATCCCCATCAAAATACCAACAGCATACTTCACAGAACTAGAAAAAATACTTCAAAATCTCATATGGAACCAACAAGGACCTTGAATAGCCACAGCAATCTTGAAAAAGAATAACAAAGTTAAAGGGATCACATTACCAGATTTCAGGTTATACTACAAAGCCACTGTAATCAAAACAGGCTGGTACTGACACAAGAACAGGCAGATAGATCAATGGAACAGAATAGAGAACAAAGAAATGAGCCCAAGACAATATACTCAATTAATATTTGACAAAGGGGGCAAGAGTATACAGTGGAGTAAAGACAGCCTCTTTAATAAATGGTGTTGGGAAAATTGAACAGTTACATGAAAAAAATAAATAAAACTAGACCATCAACTTACACCATACACAAGAATAAAATCAAAATAATAAAAGACTTAAATGTGACTCATGACTCCATAAAATCATACAAGAAAATGTAGGCAACAAAATTTCAGACATCATACGCAGCAGAATTTTCACTGATACAATACCTAAGGCAACAGAAACAAAGGAGAAAATGAACACACGGGACTACATCAAACTCAAAAGCTTCTGCACAGCAAAAGAAACAACCATCAAAATGGAAAGGCCACCCACTCTATGGGAGAGCATAATTGTCAATGATACGTCAGATAAGGGGTTAATTTCCAGTACATATAAAGCGCTCATATAGCTCAACAAAAGACAACGAACCCAATTAAAAAATGGGCAGGGAAACTAATTAGACACCTCTCCAAACAGGACATACAAATGGCTAAGGGACATATGAAGAAATGCTCAACATCACTAATCATCAGAGAGATGCAAATTAAAACAACAATAAGGTATCACCTCACACCTGTCAGAATGGCTGCCATCAACAAATCATCAAACAACAAGTGTTGGCGAGGGTGTGAAGAAAAGGGGACTCTAGTACGCTGCTGGTGGGAATGCAGACTGGTGCAGCCACTATGGAAAACAATATGGTATTACCTCAAAAAATTAAAAATTGAACTGCCATTTGACCCAGTGATCCCACTTCTAGGAATATACCCTAAGAATCCTGAAACATTAATCAGAAAGAATATATGTACCCTATGTTCATAGCAACACTATTTAAAATAGCTAGGCTCTGGACAGCCCAAATGTCCATCAGTAGACGAATGGATAAAAAGGCCGTGGTACATATACACAATGGAGTACTATGCAGCTGTAAGAAGGAAAGATCTCTTATCCTTTGAGATGACATGGAGGGAACTGGAGAGTATTATGCTAAGCAAAACAAGCCAAGCAGAGAAATACAAGTATCACATGATCTCACTTATTTGTGAAATATAATGAACATAACAGTTGAGGAACAGGGTAGTTCCAGAGACATGGAAGTGGGGTACATACTGACAATCCCCAGAAGATGGGTTGGGGGGGAGAGATAAACCACAGAACTTATATGCATGTATGCATGAACAATGGATATGGACAACAAAGCTGGGGACAGGGCAGGGGGGGAGGGGTATCAATGGGGGAAAAAGGAGAAACATCTTTAACAAAAACAAATGAATTAATTTAAAAAACCAAATTTAATGAAGAGGGCACTGTATTATTGTCAAAATTTATCATTAAATTCCTGCAGTTGCTCGCTCCCCCAGATAAAAGGGCACTCCTTTGAAAAAGTCCTAGTTCAGCAGTAACCATGCAAGTCCTTTCAGCCTTTTCAGGCGGCAACATTCTGAGAATCCACTGTCTACGAGTGGCTATACGGAAAGGAAAACGAAACCCTGTATTTAAGAAGTTTAGAAAACAAACAAGAACACAAAGTAAAGCAAATACTTTCTTGTGGATTTAGTCATGAGGGGAAAATACCAGAGATAAAAGCCAAGAATACAGTTTAACTTAAGCAGGTAAGTTTTATGATCAGAACACAATAAAATCAAGTAGGTAAAATTATATACAAGAGCTGCTTTACAGAGTAATATATCTTTTTCATGTTGATTATTTTAACAGGGCTTAATATATGATTATTCTTCAGTGTTCTGAGTTAAAATTTTTCAGATGACCATCAGGTTTGGAAACTTAAACAAATATACACAATAAGTAGTTTACTGATATTCTACGAGAAGTTCAATGTGCTGTTGCTCACTAACAATTGATATTTCAATAACAAGCTGTGCAAAACTGCAGTGAAGAATGTGCACTAAAATAGCATTTCCTTTAATCCTTGTATATCCATCCACAACGCATTGTCTCAGATAATCTGTGTTTCTAATTTTCACTGAATAAACTTGTGTCTGTAGAAAACCCTAGAAAAAGTAATCAAAGAATTCAATCTATTAAGAAATATAGGTTTCCAGACTCTGCATTCACATGTATTGTAATTTTTAAAAGATTCACCTACTCTGGCTTATAAACATTGCTGCCATTTATATTGTATCAGAAAAAAATGAATACTAAAAATGGATAATGGAAAAACAAAAGTGGATTGCTTTTGCTTTCAAACAGTTCTAGACTGAAACTGTGAAATGAAGTGATTTTCTCAGGCCCTCCAGAACACAGTGTGGAGGGGCAACAACTATGTGATGACTTCTGAACAGTCCAAAGGGATAAAAATATTTTTCAAATATGGCAAGACATTTAATCTTTCTATGGTATTAACCCCTAAGGGCTATTCTCCTTTATAGACTACAATATTGTTGTCAGTTTCATACACTTTTACTTTATAAAGCATTCCCACGGGAAGAAATTTCTGGAGATTTTCCCAGATATATACAGCTACATTTTCTGTCGTGCTGTTGAAGAAAAGGAGAGAAGATCAAAAGACAAATAAATAAAATTTCATGTTTAATATTTACAGAGAACAGAAATTCTATTTTTAAAAGGTGTCATTAAACTAAAACTAGAAATCACACAGCAACCAGATAAAATGTTAAAATCAGCTCTTCTTTCTTACTGTCTGTATTAGGTAAGGTAGTCACACCCACCTGACAGTATCTGCAAAGTATGGCACATCTAAATCCAGATTCTTATGATCAAGGGGCTTCATGATTGCCTCCTACAGACAAAGCAAAGGGAGGGCATCAATTCCATTTGTTACTCAGGTTCCGAAGTGTTCCACCTTTGCCTCAAACTGATCATTCAGCCACTAACTCAATACTTACATACTTTATCTGTGTCTTACAAAGCAACTTCAGAGAGTTTAAAATTGTGAAATAAAGTAAGCTCTTCATAATACTGTTATCTTCCTCTACTGAATGCAAAGAAATTACAAAACCAAAAAGTAGAGGATTCACTAAAGGTTTCTCACAACAAGCCATCATGATTCAGAATTGTTTAACACTCTTGCAATTCTGTCCAAAAAGTTACCAAAAGTACTTTGCCATAACAGTCTCACCTTCAAGACAATGCCACAATGTCATTAGGACAAAGATTCAGTGAGTACATTTTATAAAGCAGACTAAAACTGAAATTATGTTACTAGTTCTAAATTTCTGCTCTAAGGAGTAATTTAAGAATGATCTTGAGCTCTCAGAAGAATATAAAACGTAAATGCTATTGCTTCCTAATGCTTATATACATTAACATGTTTTCCCTTATCGATGGCAAGAATTGCAATTGCCTTATTCTAAGTTTTTAGCTGTAGTGTACAAAATCTGAGTATCTTCTAAGTTTTTATTTTTAGCTATATTGTACAAAATCAAAACAATCTAATTTTCCATATGGTATGGTCCAACAAGGGTACATTAATTATAAAAATAGCAGTCACTTTTTGACCAAAACCACAGTCATATAAAAAGAAGTCCTGCCCTGGCCGGTTTGGCTCAGCGGTTACAGCGTCCGCCTGCACTCCGGAGAGACCCGGGTTCGGTTCCCGCTAAGGGCATGTACCTCGGTTGCACTTTGTCCCCGGCCCTGGTTGGTCGTGCGGGTGGCAGCCACTCGATGTGTCCCTTTCACATCGATGTTTCCCCCTCTCTCTCTTCCTCTCTCTCCCTGCCACTCTGTCTGTACAAGAAATGGAAAAATATCCTTGAATGAGGATAAAAAAAAAAAAAGAAGTCCTAAATCCAATGACCTTTAAAATAGTTCAAATGATATCCACACGGATATCAATAAAATAAGTATTTTTGTTCTGTCTTCAATCCCAGTTCAAGTCCCAGCTTTCCCATGAAGCATCTGCAACAGGGCTCTTTCCAACTTGACTGTGTGTGCCATGATAAGCCATTTTTACCAATGGGAGCGTGTGGCGTCCTTCAAGGTGTTACGCAAAGGTATATTTAATCATGCCACTTGCTTAGGACATCTCATATTGTTGTTTTGTATTGTATAACACTCTGTGTTTATATATTTTATGTCCCTAGTAAATGCAAGAACTCTGTTCTTATAGTTTTCCAAAAGTACTTTGAGCTCAGTGCTGTTTGGTCTTTCATTCTCTTATTCATTTATTCAACCAACTGACCGAGAACTTACTTTTTTAATTTAATTTGTTTTTCTTTATTGATTTTAGAGAGAGAGGAAGGGAATGGGGGAGAGAGAGAGACAGAAACATGGATGAGAGAGAACATCGACAGGCTGCCTCCTGCATGCCCTGCACTGGGGATGGGGCCCACAACCTGGGCATGTGCCCTGACCAGGAATCCAACCGGCGACCTCTTAGTGCATGGGTCAACGCTCAACCAGTGAGCCACACCGGCCAGACTCTTTTTTATAAGTTTTTTAATTTTTCCCTTATACTTTACATTCAATATTATTTTCAGGTGTACAGCATAATTGTTAGATAACCATATACTTTACACAGTGATCTCCCTGATATTTCCAGGACCCACTTGGCACCATACATAGTTATTTCAATATTATTGACTATATTTCCTATGCTGTACTTTACATCCCCATGGCTATTTTGTAAGTACCAATCTGTACTTCTCAATCCCTTCACATTTTCACCCTGTGAGAACTTACTCTTTACCTCCTAGATAAACAATATGAGCACTCTGTGGGTAAGGGCTACGTCTCATTTATCTTTGCATTCCTAGTACTTAGCTCAAACACTGATGCCAAGTAGGCAAACTTGAATATATGGATAAGTAATGTGAAAGAAGTAATGATTATTAGTAACAGCATTTTTATGAAACAAATGTCAAATTTTAGAACAAAAGTAAGGCCTGGCCGGTGTGGCTCAGTGGTTGAGCGTCAACCCATGCACCAAGAGGTCACTGGTTCGATCGCCAGTCAGGGCAAATGCCCGAGTTGTGGGCCAAATCCCTAGTGGAGGGCATGCAGGAGGCGGCCAGTCAGTGTTCTCTCTCACTGATGTTTCTAACTCTTTCTCCGTCTCCCTTCGTCTCTTTAAAAATCAATAAAGAAAAAAAATAAATAAAGAGCAGATCTGAAACAAAGAATTAAGTAAACAGGTGAAATGATGGCCTAATAAAAGTTAAGCTGGATACAAGCAAATCTTCTTCCAACTTTGCAAAGGAGTAACCCTATGACCTAGAGCAAGTCAATTAATCTACAGCATGAAGAAGTTGGCATAGACACTATCTAAGGTCTCTTACAATGCAAACATTCTAAAATGATACAATCAGTAAGTCTTTTATTGAACACATTCTTTTGTTACCTTTATGATGAAGTGCCCCAGTGACTTTATAATAAAGCTAGAGTGACTAAAACAGAGTAGTGTTAAAATCTGTGATCAAAGGCATAAGAAAAATTCAGAGGAAAAAAAAATGCTTCAAGAAGAAAGCTGTATCTTGCAAGAACAGTAGAATTTGTTAAATGTAGGACAACAGGATATGCCAACAAGGAATACAAGATTTGCATGCTACATTTACTTCCATTGTTGTAAAACAACTGTGACTAATTTCCATTAAGTCACCCAAACACCATTAGAAAAACATGAAAGTAGTTCCTCCAACTATTCCCCTACTCCCACACCCAATTTTACTTACACCGTCATGGAACCTCTGGAGATCTTTGGTTGGGAAAGTGAAAAGTGAACCATCAAACACTATATTTGGCGAAGAGCACATAATAAACACCAAACATGCCATTACCTCCATATACTCTTTGAGGTCGGTCAAATTCATAACCATTCCTGTGACAGGATCGATCTAAAGAATAAACAGGTAAATATTACTCTAATATGTCTCCATATTTAAACCTCTGATGCATTATTAAAGGTTGTCCAATGTGCAGAAACTGTGCCCAATCTGCCTTCATCCCCACACAATCACCAGTCTCAGCATGGGAACCAAGTGCTCCAGGCATCCTTTGCATTGCACTACTCTTCGGCTTGCCCACACATAGCACATTAAAGATGACACTTTGGGAAGGGAAAGGTCTGGAAGGGCAGCAGCTCACCATACACAGAGGACAACAGTGAAGCAGTACTGATTTCAACAGAATTTTTCAACACAGAATCTATCACATTAGCAGAAAGAGGGCCCACACAGACATATTCAGCACATACCTCTCCATGTACTGTCACCACAACTATAAGAAAACAAAATACCAAAAAAACCAACATGACTTTCAACAGATTAACATCCAAGCACAAGTTAGCAACATAAGTGATTAGATCTCTGCCCCACAAAGCCATATTTATATTTCCCCCCAAACATCTGTTCTCTTAGTTAAGATTTTTTATCAACCAAAGCAAGAGTCAACCAAGACAGAGGAGATTAGTAAGAGCTTTAGCTAAGCAGAGGGGCTTAGCCAAACCCAAGAAAGGTGTAAATTCTGCTAATAATGCTGATGCACTTAGAAATCTCCATGAGGTAGGGTCGAAATGCTGCCCGATCGATGCCTGTAGTAGAAAGCGTACAGGAAGTGCGATCGAGCGCAGTATCCTTCTAAGCAAGCAAAGCTAGTACTGCACCGAAAACTCCTTTTTGGGGGGGGTGGAGAAAATTCTTATCCCTTTACTCAGATGAATGTATACAGTTTAGAGTTATGCTTTGTAAATTAACAAGTGCTTGTATGAAGCACTTGAAAAATCTTGATAATCAGAATGCTTTACAAATTAAGAACTTTTATATTTTTTTCAGCTCCATACAAGCATCATCAGGTATATATGATAAATGAACAAACTAAGAATGAGAGGGATCATAGATCACGTTAGAGACAGTAACTAAACTAGAAATCCTGATCTTCTGACACCTTTCCTGGTCTTTACTCCACCATACCTATGCTGTGATCCTCAATGGTTTACGTACTTGTTTTATGAGATGTCAGCTTTATCTCAAAGAATCAACTCTCTTATTCTTGCATAAATGAATTATTTTCTCTGTTAGCAAAGTTTTAGACCCAACCTATTTTCCTACCATACAGCACATTCCTAGCCAATTCCCTTTTTGTCAGTCATTATTTATTCAAAGAATACAACCTAATTGTAACATTAACCTCAACACCAAATTAGAAGGAAACGTGTCAAAAGAATCTCATTATGTACACTAAGGCCAATGAAAAAATTATTTAAACCATTCACTGTTTTGGACTATCTGCACCAGAGCAGACAATTCATTGCAAGGTAAAGTAAGACACATCCAATCAAGGTAACAGCTCTTTTCACTTAACTTCCACTTAACTATTCATTCAAGGCTGAAAGCATTATTGCTCTGCCCATAAGGTTTTTTACTCATTAAGACTATATTTGATAAATATTCTTCCACTCTCATTGAAAGGGCTAAAATGTCATCAGTTTTACTCTCACCTTTGTAATTGTGCCCATGACCATTTGGATTGTTGCATTTCCCAAACAGTTGCAAGTTTTCTTCATTACTCAGAGATTTGCTGACCAGAAAAAAAAAAGTTAATATGACATAGGCTTCACAATTTATTAAGATTTTAGCTCATTAAATGGAGAATCATAAATCAATTGGGTTTCATCATTCAGCTGTTTGTTAGGAACCACTGTATGTCCCCGAATCAGGCTACTGTACCATACAAATTAGCATAAATTCAACCCTTTGTTCCACAGCAAGATTCCAAAAACTGATCTGCTCAAGGCCCTTCCATTTTTCAACTCAACATTTACTGAGTACCTACTACAGATCAGGCACAGCTGAATGATAAACAAAAGATGTCTGTCCTCAAGTGGCTTAAAATCTTATTACTTCTGAAAAATAATTCGATGACCTATTAGTCTCTTCTTTAACAACCTTGCTTTATGATGCCTCAACTACTGCCCACTGATAACTTCATCAGTCCACTGAGGGGCATTCTTTAAAACTTTAAAATTACAATACTCAAGCCCTGGCCAGTTTGGCTCAGCGGTTAGAGCGTCCGCCTGCGGTCCGGAGAGACTCGGTTTCGTTCCCGCTAAGGGCACGTACTTTGGTTGCAGTTTGTCCCCGGCCCTGGTTGGTCGTGTGGATGGCAGCCACTCGATGTGTCCCTTCACATCAATGTTTCTCTGTCTCTCCCTTCCTCTCTCTCCCTCCCACTCTATCTGTACAAAAAATGGAAAAATATCCTCGGGTAAGGATTAAAAAAAAAAAATTACAATACTCAATTGTTGTTCCAGGCAGAAAACACTTTGTTTAATGGATGTTTATACCTCTACCTGTCCAATCTTTGCATTTTTAATGAGTTCTTCCTATCCTTATATGTTCAAGCTTTCTATTATACAACCCCTGTCTTCTTGAGATCCTTTTTATTTCTCCCACCTTCTCCTGCTCGTGCCCTTCTAACGTTTAGAGTGCTACAGTTCACAAAACTTTTGCACAAAATTATCTCACTGTCCTTCCCCAGTATTGCCCAGATTGTACTCCGCACAGAAGGCCGTGGCAGGTGCGTGTTGAGGACTGCCGCACCGTTACCTAGCCCAAGACCTGACAACGCACGCAAGAAACACCTGTCCAGGGAATGAATGGACGAATCTTGCTAGATAGAAAAGAGCCTTGTTTTACAGACGGGGAAGTGGATGCTCAGAGAGTGGAGCTTGCTAATGGGTGGCAAAACTCCTCAAATTCAACTCGAGAGCCATCAAGCTCCGGGGTCAAGTGCCGACCGTGCTGCTTGCTGGCAGAGCTGCCTTGGCAAAGCGCCGCGCGGCCACCAGGACTGGTCGGTCAAGGGGGTAAAACGGGACGCTGTCATGACACCAGCTGCGGTAGCTCACACCAGGTGTTCACGATGTCATCTGTCACCTGAACGTAACAGCGTGAGAGCACGCGGGGAAGCGGAGGGACAGAAGGGTAGCTTCAGGTCCCAGAGCCGGCGAGGAGGGCCTCTGGTTCCGCACCCAGAGCCGTCTCTCGCGGTCGGCCCGTTACCACCACGCTTCCCGGCCCCCTCTGGAGCCGGCCACTCCGGTAGTCACGGTGTCACCGACGAAGCCCGGCGGCCAAGGGACCACCCGGGGCGCGCCCGCCCCCCTCGGTGCGCACACCGGCCCCTCCCGCGCCCCGCCCACCGGTGGCGCCGCGGGTCCAACCCACCAGTGGAGCCGGTGGGTCGCGCTGAAGGAGACCAGGCGGGACACGCGCGCCCAGCGGCCACGGCCGGGCCCCGCAGCGCTCATGCTCGCAGCCCGCGCAGAGCCAGCGCCCCTCCTCGGCTGCGGCGGGCCGGCGGGCACTGGGCGGCGGGGCCTCCTCCGCGCCTGCGCAGTGCGCCTGCGCGCCGGGAGCGCTCCGCTGCGCCCGCGGCTGTGCTGCCCCTGGCGGCCTGGAGGCTGTGGCCGGCGCCCCCGACTCCGGGCTCGCTCTCGGGAGGGCAAGACGGCGGCTGGGCAGACACGCTTCGCAGCGGGCAAATCAATGTTTTGATGTCTGCTCGGCCTGTGGCCACGTCGCGCAGTTAGGGTGTCTGGGCACCCTTGGGGCTCTGCAGGGACTTCTTTGAGCCGCCCCCCCCCATCCACTTCCAGTAGCTGGTTCCTCGGATTCCCCAAGGGCTGGTCTGCTTCTCATAAAGGGAGCGGGAGGCAAGGGCACGAGTAGGAGCAGGTGGCTTTCAGCGATAACACTGCCTTTGACTGCCGGAAGGACCCTCGCTAAGGGAGAAGCTCAGGCGGTCCTCATGCACACTCATCCGTGAAGCCATGTCTCGTTCTGGGGGGGCACCGTGTGAGTACGTGCACCAAGCACACGCGCGCGCACACGCGCACACACACGGGCACACACGCGAGCAGTTCTGTGTCGCGGACACCTCGGAGCGGAAGGCTCTTGCTTCCTCACATCTACTCAAAGGGAGTACCCCAACACCCCACATTCGTGCTCGTTACATGTTTGGTGTATACCAGCCACGAGGCTGGCACTGGGAAACAGATAAAATCCTGAGTGTGGCAGAAATACTATAAGCTCCAAAGGTAATTTCTCTCAAGTGTCTCAGGTCTCCAGCTATATATTGTTTGTTCTGCATTAAATTATTAATATGTTATATAGCAAACATTCTTCACACATTTTTCAAAAATGTTTATCTCCCCTTTGTGCTATAAAGAAAGAACTTCAAAGGATTCTCAATTTAAGAGATTTTTCTGATATAGAGATTATCTAATTCAGTCCTCTCGCTTTACAGATAAGAAAGCACAGGCCCAGATAAGTGAATTACTTAACCAAGATCACTTATTATATAAACAATATTTCCCAGGTATTGACTACATCAGTGATACTCAAACAGCCAGTGGTTACACAAACATTTTATTCATTCCAAGAATTCTAAAGAATCCAAAATAAGAGAAAAGGTAAGAAATAGAAGGAAAGTCTGATAAATTATTTTACATATTTGCTTTAATAAAATGTCATTGAATTTGTTGTTCTTGCTCTAATATTTTTTATTAAAGCTAATTCTATATAAAGGTACTCACCAAATTCACCCTCAGTGATCCAGTTATGGGTTGAATTATATCCCCCCATTAATGTGTTGAACCCTAACTTCTAGTACCTCACAATATAACTTTATTTGGAAACAGGGTCTTTACACATATAGTTAGTTAAGACCTGGTCACTGGGTGGATCCTAATTCCTCTCCCCTGCGTGTGGCCCATATTCCCCTTTCACTGAGTCTCTGGGCCCTGGCCATTGGTGCGCTGGGGTTTGGGAGTGGAAAAGGCCCGCCTAAGCTTTGAGCCTTAGTCATATGCTCACTCGGTTTTAACAAAACTTCCACATTAGATTACCAGGCATATGCACCTAGATTATCAAATATCATTTATCCCTTTTGTCCTCTTCTTCAAAAACCTCACAGATGGCATGGCCAAAGCAGAATTTAGGCATCTTTGCGTCAAAAATCTTAAGATTATATTACTAACCTTCATACGTTTGAACTTCCCTCTATGTGTACCAGGGTGGAGTAGAGCAGCGGTTCTCAACCTGTGGGTCGCGACCCCTTTGGGGGTCAACAACCCTTTCACAGGGGTCGCCTAAGACCATTGGAAAACCCATATTTCCAATGGCGATTCGTAACAGTAGCAAAATTACGGTTATGAATTAGCAATGAAAATAATTTTATGGTTGGGGGTTGCCACAACATGAGGAACTGTGTTAAAGCGTCACGGCATCAGGAAGGTTGAGAACCACTGGAGTAAAGGTTTATAAACAGGGGAAAGACATGATCATATCTGTGTCCTTCCCAGATGTCAACTAGAGTCTCCTTCATCCTTCAGATCCAGATAAGATCAAACCTCCCTGTCTTGCCCGGGGGGAGTAGCATGCCTTTTTGAGGAAATCTGTGAAATATCAGGAGATCTATGTTCTTATGGTTACCTCAGCCTCTAAGCTCCCACATCTGATATATTAGTTCTGTTTAGGCATCTTGCATTATGTACCTGCTACTGTAGTTCTGTATCTCAAACACAAGACTTAGAATTTTTACTTTATTGGCACAATGTAAATCTTCATATGTGGTATTTGAATGTATAGAACTAAACAGGTAGGGTTTGTGATGTTTACGAAAACTCTTCAAGAAAACTGAGTCTTGCCCTGGCCGGTTTGGCTCAGCGGTTAGAGCGTCGGCCTGCGGTCCTGAGAGGCCCGGGTTCGGTTCCCGCTAAGGGCACGTACCTCGGTTGCAGTTTGTCCCCGGCCCTGGTCGGTCGTGCGGGTGGCAGCCACTCGATGTGTCCCTTTCACATCGATGTTTCTCTCTCTCTTCCTCTCTCTCTCCCTCCCGCTCTACCTGAACAAAAAAAGAAAAAAAAAAAGAAAAAGAAAACTGAGTTTTGGCCAGTGTGGCTCAATTGGTTGGAGCATTGTCCCATATACCAAAAAGTTGCAGGTTTGATTCCAGTCAGGGCACATACCTGGGTTGCAGGTTCAATCCCCAGTCAGGGCGTGTGCTGAAGGTGACCAATTGATGTTCTCTCTCACATCAATTTCTCTTTCTCTCTCTCTCTCCCTCCTGCTCCCAATCTCTAAAATCAATAGGCATAGCCTCAGGTGAGGATTTTTTATTTGTTATTGATTTGTTAATCCTCACCTGAGGATATTTTCCCACTTATCATCAGATAGGGTGAGAAGGAGGGAGGGAGAGAGGGAGGGAGAGAGAAACATCGAGGTGAGGGGGACACATTGACTGGTTGTCTCCCACAGGACCTGACCAGAGCCAGGGATGAATCGCAACCTAGGTATGTGCCCTTGGCCGGAATCTACCCCTGACTCATTGGTCTGAGGGTTGACGCTCTAACCACTGAGCAAAACCAGCCAGGGCGAATTTTTTAAAAAGAAGAAAATTGAAAAGAAACTGATGATGTTGGTCCTGGACTGTGCAGTAAGCCTAATCATGAATTCACAATTGTTCCCAAAAGACATGTCCAGGGTCTTCCCCAGCAGTGTGCAGCATGCAGGGAGCATGGGAGGCTAGCTGACCCTGGACTGGACGTCAGCTGAGGGGAGCAGTGTAGCTGAAGGAAAAGGGAACAAGGGATTTTGAGGGTGTTGATAAGAGTGTGGCTTAAATGACAGACCCTGGCTGATTTGACTATTAGTTAAAACTGGTGGTTTGAAAGGTGGAGATTAAATGGTCTCTAGTGCCACCTGTTGCCCACCTAAATGAAGAACTAGACATTTTTCTTTTTTCTTTTTCTTTTTTTAATCCTCACTTGAGGAGATATATATATATATATTTTGGTACATGCCCCTAGTGGGAACTGAACCCAGGACTCTCTGGTCCACCGGCTGATGCTCCAACTGCTGAGCCAAACTGATCAGGGCACTTGAGGATATTTTTTCCATTTATCTTCAGATAAAGTGGGAGGGAGGGAGGGAGAGAGAGAGAGAGAGAAACATCGATGTGAGAGAGACACATTGACTGTTTGCCTCCCGCACAACCCTGACTAGGGCTGGGGACAAACTGCAACCCAGGTAGGTGCCCTTGACCGGAATCAAACTCCTGACTCTTTGGTCCACGGGCCGACGCTCTAACCGCTGAGTCAAACCGGCCAGGGCAGAACTAGAGATTTTTCCTTAATCTCTGAAGAACCATACACCTGGAGATTGGAAGGAATGCCTGAGCTGGGGACAGGGTGGGAGGTGGCCGCCAGTAGTTCAACGGCAGTGGCGTCTGCTGTGGACCACAGAGAAACAGCCAGTCTAACGAAGCCATCAAGCATGGCATTGCCGGCTTCCTGTCCTCGTGACTACCTGGGGACCAGTGGTAATAGACAGGCTGTGACAGAAAAAACCAGGTGCTTTTCAGATCTATATTCATATTCTGCTACCTATGGTTATTTGTATTTCTTTTCCCAAGTGTGAGGGTCTCTGTCACACACCTATCTGTAATGACCCACTTCTAGTTTTTCTTTCACGTACATACTCTTTTTACCTAGAGGAAGATATATTCAATAAATACAAGTTAAAACTATCTTCAAAAGGTTGTATCAACATTTGTTTAATTTTTTCAATGAAGAGCCCTAAGAAAATATAAAACCATAATTATCTCTTGAATTCTGTTTTTGATAGAAATTTAGAAACCAGACATCTGTGCTTTGAAAGTAAGGTGCCTCTTTTGATCTCCTGGACGGAGCACATTCATTTTAACCCTAGTTCCCAGATCTCGTGGTTCTTCCATCAGGTCGCTATGAAGGTTCCATGAAACCCATAAGGCATCTGCACGGGCACCTCTGCTCGGCCCAGTTCTTCAAAGTTCTTGGCATCCAAGACTAAGAGAAAGTTGCTTTTATTCTAGAAGAGGAAAAATAATACTGAAAAAAATATATTTTTTTCAAACAAAAGTATGTCTCCTCCACTGCACTATAAAATTCCTAAGGGAGAGATCATGTCTTATTCATCTTCATATCTATCCCCAGCACCTAGCAAAGTGCCTTGCCTCTCCATTTACTAAATGCTGGCTGAATTGGACTTAAAAGGAAATTACAGCTGAACAAGTTCATGCCTAAGTGAAAACATTGCACTGTTTTTATCAATCACCTTCATAGGATCTCTTTGAGTTTAAGGGTCTTTTTACCTGCTCCTTTTCAATTTCCTGAGAGACACAGAAATTCTTCCTTCTGAATTAGAAGTGCCTCCTTCCACTTTGTTACTTGAGAGCTGTTCAAAGGTGGCATTGCCAGGCAGACTGAGACTGTCCCTGGTATGATTACAGGCAAGTACAAAGGACAGGCAAGTGCATGGTAAGAGGACTAACCTCACCTAAGGCCATGGCAGACCTAACTAATTGGTCAGAACACATTTCTCACCAAACCCTTTGAAAGGCTTAGAATTCTACATCTTAGGCAGCCACTAATACTTAATCAAAGCTAGTACTCAAAGGGAACCTATTTTCCCCAGATTGCCCCAGATTGCCCCAGACGAGAAGTTAGATGTTATTGAGACACCAGGTCAGGGCTTACCACATTAGACTTTTGGGTCACTCAACCAAAAGTGGCAGCACAGACAATGTTATGAGGATTAGACTAGGAGTCAGAAGAATGGGATTAAATACTGGCTTTACTACTATGAGATCTGATACAGGTCTCTTCCAAGTTCCTTAAATTACAAATCCCATATATGTAAATTGTATCCTACAAAGTTGTTTTGATGACCTAATAAGACAGTATGTATGAAAGGAGTTTTTAAATGCATTCCTAAGCAAATGTAAATTATTATGGTTCTACAAATAGAAATGTAAGATAATAAAAAGTATGGATTATGATAAGAGGGTACATAAATGATAAGGGAGAGGAAGAAAGGAGAGAAGGTACCACGCTGGAGTAAAAAAAACTAGCAACAGCAGAACAAACTATCCGAACTCTATCCCTCACACAACCCTCAAAAGGCTCAGTGTTAGGTTTCTTTCTGACTAGTAACAGGGAAATGCACTGACCTGGTCGGGGGTAATCACCACAGAAAGAATAACCCCACCATCTTCTTCACTGGTGCCTGGCACTGGAACAAAAACAGGCTCTGAAGGGTACAAGCCGTCTTCTCTCCAAACCTGCAAGTCCCAAACAAGGTGTCTGCTGGAAGGCTAGTTATGAGCTGGAAGCTTTCAGTAGCTGCTTCCTGCCGGCCTGAGTGTGGCTGGCAGCAGGACACTCCTACAGGGAAAGCAGTCGGCTCACTGAGCGGAGTCCCGGGAGAGGGGGGCTTTTGCAGCAGTAGATTCCATCGCCATCAACGCCAGGGGTGCAGTTGTAACTTCCCTCGGACCTGAATAGAGGTGTGCCAACAACCTGAGCCCCATGACTTCTCGCAACATAATATCAAGCACAGAATTCTTTTTCTGGGCTTGTGGTTCATTTCGATTTCCTAGAAAGAACATACCGCTACCCAGGTGATTCCATGGTTCTCAAACTTAATAAAAGTAAATGGCCGAGCTGCTTAAATATTAGAGAATGTCAAAAGCTACCTTAAACACAACAGAAACTCATTCAAAGGACAGAACAGGTGCTTTCAGGGTTTAGGGGAAAAACGATTTTCATTACCGTCAGCGTCTTGCTCACCACGTCGACCTTCATCAGAGAATCGCCCACCAAATGCCGAAAGCCACAGCCATAGAAGAAACGATACTTTTTGCCACTGAATTGACCGTAGTTGATCTGGGGAAATTCAACACCTCCTTCCTTTTCTAAGTCCTTGGGATATAGATTTTCATAAGTGCACCAAATCTGAAAAAGGTCCCAAAAGGATTTGTAGTGATTGTTTAATTCTCACTTATTTTCTTCAGTGTAGGTCTGTGCGGGGCTAATACTCTGTAAGGGTTTCTGACAGGGTTTGGAAATGGAAGTTCTGTGTAATTTTTTAACGTTATTCCTCTTTCCATCATGTGTATGAATGCATAAAAGATCTTTGGGCTTTGTGACTAAGCTGATAGGGGTACAAGTGGGCTTTTTACTCTACTAAAGTTAAGACATTGATCGCTACACAATGATATGCCTGTAATAAGCACAAATTATCTAAAAGGCAGGGATGGTCGATACCAATATCAAATATTTAAATATTTTACAACCATCAGAAAGTTGCATATATCTGCTTCAAAATACAAGAGGGATCAGTAAACAGAGCGCTCAGTCCCAACCCGAATACTGCGGTTCTTGTGCAAGCAATGTGCTAAGACCTTACCCTGCTCAGCTGAATGTGATGAAATTATTGTGCCCAAACAGTGTGGAGAACAGCCAATGAGAAAAAAACAAACAGTACAAGTCAAAGTCTTAGTCTAATGTCTGTTCACGGCCTACCTTGCCATCAGCCTGCTTCACAGCACTGGCTGAAGAGTAGGGCAGTGGGCTGAGGTTCTCTCCCTTGGGGGCATTCGAACTGACATGCAAGGGCAAAACAAACCTTCGAGGGTAAGATATGGCTACTGAATTATAGACCTGTTCAGGAGAGAAATAAACAGACAAGGAACCTGTCATTCATAGAATAACAGCATGTCCCAATAATTCAGACCCAGGCAACATGATTATTAGCATTTCTAAGTAATTGCATAAATGATCATCTTCATGTCTTCATCTATACAGCAAATACCTGCTGAGCACCTGTCACAGATACTGTTCAGACACTGGGATACAGCAGTGAACAAAACAAAGTCTCTGACCTCATGGAACTTATAGTCTAGTGGAGAAAAAATGATACTAAATAATAAAATATATGTTATTTCATTAGTGTCAAATAAACAAATGATTACATAGCCCAAGGTCTGATCGTGATGCGTGCCATTAAGAAACATACTGCAAGGTGAGGAACTAGAGTAACAAGGACTGCTTCCTTCTCCAGGTTTGGTCAGGATAAACCTGTGTGTGGAGAAAGGTTAACTTAGCAGGACTGGGTTGCTCAGAGCCTGCACATTCTCAAGAGGGACCTGTTGTCATGACTGGCCCTTGTCTGGCACCTGGGAACTGAGCTCCTCCTGGGACTGCTCTGTCTGATAAAAGTATCTGTGCACGCCTGAGGCCTAAGTCACACTGTGCGCATTTACCCAGAGAGTTTCTGATAACAGTGTGATTTGTAGTGAACCAGGCTTTCCCTGTGGGTTCTGGAGCTTCAGGCACTGGTCACCCATGTTGGGCTGTATGCCTATGCGCAGACCCCCAACAAAAATCCTGGACAACCAGATACATGCTTCCAAGGACTCTGGTGGTTTCCTCCAGGCTTCAACCCTGTGCACCTTTTCCTTTTGCTGATTTTTCTGGGAACTGTAAGTCTTCCTAGTGAATTATCAAGGGGTGGTCCTAGGGACCGCTGACACAGCCTCTCTGTAGAGATGATGTTTAAGCAAGAGACCCTAATAAAATAAGTATATGTTTTCTGACAATAAGAATGCTGTAAGTACATTTTTATCTCTAAAAATTTTGTAAGATGGAGAACCAACTGCCATTTCCCTCTATATACTTAGTCCATATCATCTTCATCTCATGCAGAAATGTTTCACTGAGTAAAGACTTAGTGCTATTTTTAAGCTGCATAAAGAGTTAGTTTTTTCAAGATTACTTTTAAATTTTATTTAAGCCCAGCTAGTGTGGCTCAGTGGTTGAGCGCCGACCCCTGCACCAAGAGGTCATTGGTTCAATTCCTGGTGAGGCTCATGCCCAGGTTGTGGGCCCGATCCCCAGTGGGGGACATGCAGGAGATGGCCAATTGATGTTCTCTCTCATCGATGTTTCTATCTCTCTTCTCCCTCCCTCTCTAAAATCAATAAAGAAAAAAAAAATTGTTTTTAAATTTTAAATTTATTTCAATTTTTTTTCTTTTGCAAAACCATAGCTGAAAAACAAGACTTCCAATAATAGTAGATTGGGTAATGTGGATCAACTGTCCCACAGAGAACAGCTGGAAAAGCTGGACAACATTAGTAAGACAGCTGTTTGAAGACCCTGGTGAGCTGAAAAGGCAGTGAAGAGAAATGAGGTGGAGATTTGGTAAGAGATAAACTAGACATTGGGGACACTTTTCCCCAGGACATAAGTTGCTTTTAGAAAATGGCCACTGAAGGGCTGAGAAAAATTAAGCAACTTCTTTATTAAACTTTTTTATTTGAGATCATTACAGAGTCACATGTATTTATAGGAATACAGAAAAACAATTGATTAATAAATGGGCAAAGAACTGAAAGAAATATCTTTCACCAAAGACATACAAATGGACAATAAGCACATGAAAAGATGCTCGACATCGTTGGTCATTAGGGAAACGCATATCAAAGCCAGAATGGGATAATACTTCACATTCATTAGGATGGCTATTATAAAAATTGAAAACAAAACCAAGAAACAACAGTGTTGGTGAGAACGTAAAGAAACTAAAACACTTGTGCATTGCTGGGGGGACTGTAGAATTGTACAGCTGCTGTGGAAAACAGTTTAGCAGTTCCTCAAACAGTTAAACATAGAGTTACCACATGACCCAGCAATTCTAGGTAGATACCAAAAGGAATTGAAAACAGGGGCTCAAATAGATACTTGTATGCTAATGTTCTCAACAGCATTATTCACAATAGCCAAAAAGTAAAAACAATCCAAATGTCCACCAACAGATAAATAAATGAATAAAATGTAGTGTGTGTGTGTGTGTGTGTGTGTGTGTGTGTGTGTGTGTGTATTCCATTATTCCACCTTTAAAAAAATAAGATTCTGATACATGTTACAACATGGATAACATTGAAAGGATTATGCTAAATGAAATAAGCCAAACACAAAAGAACAAATCTTGTATGAATCCACTTATATGAGGTAGCTAGAACAGGCAAATTTAGAGAAACAGAAAGTAGAATAGAGTCTACCAAGAGCTGGGGAGAGGGAGGAATAGGGAGCTGTAATTTAAGAGGTATAAAATTTCTCTTTGCAATAATGGAAAAGTTCTGAAAATGGATAACGGTGATGGTTGCACAACATTGTTTAGGTACATAATGCCACTGAATTGTACACCTAAAATAGTTAAGATAGTAAATATTATGTTATGTATATTTTACCACATAAAAAAAGAAACAATGCATTCATATTCACCAATTACATCTTGCATAACTATCACAATATCACAACTGGGAAATTTACACTGATATAACTCACTAACTTTATTCAGATTGCACCAGTTAACATGCACAAGTGTGTGTGTGTGTTTAGTTCTATGCAATTCTATCAGGTGTAAATTTATGTGGCCACTACCACACTCAAGATCCAGAGCAGCTCAGCCAGTGTGGCTCAGTGGATAGAACACTGTCCCATGGACTGAGAGGTCCTAGTTCGATTCCGTTAGGGCACATGCCCAGGTTGTGGGCTCCATCCCCAGTAGGGGATATACAGGAGGCAGCCAACTAATGTTTCTCACATTGATGCTTCTATCTCTCTCTCCCTTCTTCTCTCTCTAAAAAAATAATCAATAAAAACATATATAAAAAAGATACGGAACAGTCCCATCACCACAAGAACATCTACACTAGCTACCCTTTTAAAAGAATATAACCACACCAATTCCCCCACTACTTGACCCTAATGAGAAAACATTTTTATAGTTTTGAGGAGCTAAAGAGACGAAAGTTAGAATTCAAGGTCTACCAATGAGGGAAAGCCCTGATAAATCTCTAGCTGTTTGGGTCAAGAACCCTCAGGTCTGCACCCTGACAATTAGGAGTAAGAAGAAACAAGGAATAGTGCAGCTCTTACAGGTACTGTATCCTGCTTCAAATGATCTCACGCCCTGTAACAAGATTAAGAATATCTGGGCCATGACCAGATGGCTCAGTTGGTTGGAGCATCGTCCCATATACCAAACAGTTTCAGGTCTGATTCCAGTCAGGGCACATGCCTAGGCTGTGAGTTCAAACCCCAGTCAGCACACATACAGGAGACAACCAATCAATGTTTCTCTCTCACAGAGAGGTTTTCTCTCTCTCCCTGTCTGTCTGTCTGTCTCTCTCTCTCCCCCCTTCTCCCCTCCTTTCTTCTCTTTCTATAATCAATTAAAAATATATCCTCAGGTAAGGATTTAAAAAAAAATGTGTGTGTGTATGTGTATCTGGAATTATCAACAAAACAAAAAGACAACCTACTAAATGGGAGAAAGGATTCCACAATAATACATCTGATAAAGGGTTAATATCTAAAATTTATAAAGAACTCAGACAGCTCAACACCAGAAAAAAATGGGCAGAAAACCTGAATATACACTCCCAAAGAGGACATACAGATGGCCAATAGACATATGAAGAGTTCAACATCACTAATCATCAGAGAAATGCAAATTAAAATGATAATGAGATATCACTAAACACCTGTAACAATGGCTATCATCAATAAATCAACAAACAAGTGTTGGTGAGGATGTGGAAGAAAGGGAACACTTATGCACTGTTGGTGGGGTGCAGTTTGGTGCAGCCACTATGAACAAAAGTGTGAAGGCTCCTCAAAAAATTAAAAATGGGCCCAGCTTGTGTGGCTCAGTGGATTGAGTATCATGTCATGGACTGAGCAGTCCCAGTTCGATTCCTGGTCAGGGCACATGCCTGGGTTGCAGGCTCAATCCCCAGTACAGAGTGTACAGGAGGTAGCCGATTGATGTTTCTCTCTCACATTGATGTTTCTATCTCTCTCTCCCTTCCTCTTTCTCTAAAAAGTAATCAATAAAAACATTTTTTAAAAAGTTCAAAGTGGAACTCCTTATGACCCAGAGATTCCACTTCTAGGTATATATACAAAGAAACCAAAACACTAATTTAAAAGAATATATACACCCCTGTGTTCATTGCAGCATTATTTATAATAGCCAAGACATGGAAGCAACCCAAGTGTCCATCAATAGATGAGTCATAAAAATGTTGTGAGATATATATATATACCCATATATCAGCCATAAAAAGGGAATCAAATCTTACCATTTGGGACAGCATGGATGTACGTAGAGGGTATTATGCTAAATGAAATAAGCCAGACAGAGAGACAAAATCCATATGATATCATTTATATGTGGAATCCAAAGAACAAAAACAGAAACAGACTTATAATTACAGAAAACAAACTAATGGAGGCCAGAAGGAAGGGATGTTGGGGTAAAAAAAAAAAAAAAGGTGATGGGACTAAGATGTACTAATAGGTAGTTGCAAAATGGGCATGGCATGTAAGGTAAAGCATAGAGAATATAGTTAACAATATTGTAATAATTATCTATGGTGCCAGGTGGTCACCTGAATTGTCAGAGGGAATGCTTTATAATGTATATGAATATCTACCCACTGTGCTATATTCCTGAAACTAATACAAAAAAATGTTGAATGCACTATGAACAACTACATGCCAACAAATTGGACAAGCTGGGCAAAATGAACAAATTTTTATAATCTTCCAAAACTCAAACAGGAAGGATCAGAAAACCTGAATAGACTAAG